ACTTCCCTGGTCCTGAAGCGCCGAGCGCGATATCCGGGTAATTAGTGCATTAGAGATCCCACTCTGGCCTCTATCAGGCAATCCAAGCATCTGAGCAGTCGCCTAGGGCGGGGAGGAGTACAAAAACGTCTGCGACAATGTCTTATGTCGAAATGCATGAAACTCACCAGGAATAAGTGAGAGGGGTATCGAGCCTTTGTCGTTCACCCGCTCTGGGCCGGATGCCATCTTCCTCTGTTCACAGAAAATAGTTCCCTATAGATCAGTCGCACATGACTCTCCCCCACTGTAATAGGTCAAAATAGGGCGTGTGTGTGTGTGTGTGTGTGTGTGTGTGTGTGTGTGTGTGTGTGTGCGTTTGTGTGCTGTCTCTGTCTCTGTCTATCTGTGGGCGCGCACACGCACGTCCCGTTCCCCTCCCCCCCCCCCCCCTTTCTGCACCTCTTCTTCCCTCACCCGCCTCACCTCCGCCTCCACCTCCACTTCCACCCACTTCCACCTCCTCGTGCCATCACATCCCTGTGGTGGTGACATGCATTGCATGCAGCTCACGTGGACCACGGGCTTCTGCGCCATCTTCCTGGTGACGGCCGTGCTGTTCACGCACCTGCCGCGGCGCGCGTACCTGATTGCCGCAGGTTACAGCAGCGTGGCCATGATGGCGGCGTCCTTCACCTCCGATCTCATTGGCTTTGGCCTGGCCATGCACTCCAAGCACCCCACGTACCTCTTCACCTTCTACGTAGCCATTGCCTCCAGCACCCTCGCCTGCCTCATCATCCTCTTTGGCGCCCTCTCCGGCATCATCCCAAACAGCACCAGCTCCCACGCCTTCAGCTCCGCCAACCCATCCCCTGTCAAGGCCCTCAGCATCCAACACGATGACATGGTGTCTATCGCCTCTGCGTCCCCGCTCCTCGTCCCATCCCCGGCCACCGACACCACCGACACCACCCGCACGTCCCCGGCCACAACATCACACGCCAGCAGCCACGATGGCGCCAGCTGCACGTGTAACGCTGCTGCTACTGCTGCTGCTGCTGACGGCGCCGACAACCACCAGCCGCACGCGTTACACTCCAATGCGTTCCTCCATTCAGACACCGCTTACATAAACTGCACGCTGCAGGCGCATCACGCACTGCAGCGCGACCATGGCGGTGGCCAGCACAGCCGCTCGTGCGTACTCTCAGCAGCCGCCGCGACACTCACAACAACAGCAGCAGCATCATCATCATCATCATGCACAACAACAGCAGCAGCGGCAACATCCACAACACCTCCGACCGCATCGTATTCGTCGTCGTCAGGCGTGTCCACTGTCTCGTCCGCGCGCACCACTCGCATCTTCCTCCGCGCCCTCAAACACCCGCGCCTGCTCCTCTGGCTCTGCTCGTACGCTGTCCTGCGCGCTGTGCATACCGTTGTCATCACGCTGTGGGCGCTGCTGGTGCTCGACTACGACCGCCACAACATCAAGTTCAACGGCCTGGTTGGCGCCACCACATACGGCGTTGCCTCTGCCGTCGTCCTCTCCCTCCAATATGTGGACAGCGTGCACGCCGCTGTGCAGCGCCTGCGGTCGCACGCCAGCTTCCCTTTTGCCGCGTGCATGCTGCTGGCTGCTGGCCTGACGCTCGTGGCCCTCTCCTACTGCCGCAGCATCATCACCATCGGGGCGTGCCTTGCCGTCTACCACATCATCACGGAATCGTTCCTTGTCATTGCCGCGTCCTTCATGGGCAAGTACCTGCAGCACGTCTTTGTCGTCTCCACCGCGCCAGAAGCAGCCAGGGCCCGCGCCCCCACATGTACGCAACACACGACCGTTCCTGCTGCTACTGCTACTGCTACTGCTTCTGCTGCTGCTTCTCGGGTGGCGGACTACGATTCAATCAGCTCGAAACCAGCACGAACACCAACAACAGCATCAATGGCAGCGGGAACACGCGTACGCGTGGCAGCAGGCACCCCTGCAGTGCTGGCAGACACAGCACCAACAGCACCAACAACAACAGCAGCAGCAGCAGCAGCAGCAGCAGCTAAGCGCACCATGCTGGTGGATGCAGTGGAATGCCACAACGACACTGAGCCATGCACATGCCCGAAGCAGCAGTCACCCACCCGCCGCAACTACCGCGTCCTTGATGGCGTCTGTGCCTCACCCGAGCAACTGCAACCACCCTTGCCTCCCTCGTCATCACGACCGCCGCTGCTGCCGCCACCCTACTTCCCCGTCGCCGTTGAAGCAGGAAGAGGAGGGGGTGGAGCGTGCATGCACACACGGTATCCTCGTGGGCACGTGCACGGTGATGACCACCCAACGCACCATCCCAACGGCAGTGGTGATGATGGTGGTGATGACGATGAGGACGACTTGGCGGCCAACGACAGCGCACCCGATGAGGAGCTGGCGCAAAGCATCATCCACCGGAGCGACCACGCCTCCCGCGTGCACCACAGCCTGTACCTGCTGCTCATGACCACGCGCTTCTCCCTCTCGCTCGTCGTGCAGACGGCGCTGCAACTCGTCATATGGCCACGCTGGGGTACAGTCCACAACGTCTTTGCGCTCGACCTCGACTTGCCGCACCAGATATTCGCATACGGAGGCGTGCTGCTCGCTGCTGGCGGCGTGCTTGCTATCGTCTCCGCCTTCGCCCTCTGCACACACGCACGCAAGCGGCGGCAGCAGTGGCAGCGGCAGCGGCACAGCCACCACATCTCCTGCGACGAACGCACGGCCTTGCTGCGGTGACCTGATCATCATGGGGTGTGTGTGTGTGTGTGTGTGTGTGTGTGTGTGTGTGTGTGTGTGTGTGTGTGTGTGTGTGTGTGTGTGTGTGTGTGTGTGTGTGTGTGTGTGTTTGCTGTGGGTGTGTGCGTGTGGGGGGGGGGGTATGTGTGTGTGTTAGTCACGAACAACTCATTTCATTGTTAGGTAGAGCGTGGGTGTGGTGTGGGTAGGTCACGTTCCTGAGGCGCTGTTGCGTCATTGCATTCTGATGGTCATGTCCTCTCCCGTGTTCTGTGTCATGTCACACTGCTGCCAGTCCATTGTTATCTATTTTAACTCTTCATTGCTGGTGTTTGTTACATTATGTTAACTTCGTTGCTTTGGGCCTTGATTGTTCGCTTTGTGTGTCCACACGCAAACCCCTCCTCCTGCGCCTGTGAGTCACACAGACGACAGCCAAAAGTTGGGCTTGGTTTGAGGTTACAAATTGCGATTGGGACGCCCAAGCTCAAGCAGCAAGAATCACCATCAGCAAGCAACAAAGGAGGCACTCCTTTGCTGGGAATCCAATTCACAGACTGCATTTAATTCACAAAAGGCAAAACGCAAACAACGGAGGACTGGCTGGCAACCAACACAAACACAACAGCCGACATGGCGTCCAGCTCGCGGGTAACGCGGGAGAAGCTAGAAGCGATGATAGCGGCGCTGCAGCTGGGAGAAGACGGCAAGAACGAGATCAGAGCCATAGCCGATGGTACATGTGGACCAGCTGTCACGTGAGTGTTGTGATGTGATGTGATGCCCTGTTGCTTCCACGATATTCGCCGCACTTCGCGCTCTTGTCTTCTTCTTGTGTGTCGGTCCTGGGCTTTGTTTGTGTTTCTTGGGTGTGGCGCAAACACAGCTTACACGAGGGGTCTTTCTCTCTTCGCAATCTCCTTGGCAGGCTTGGTTTCGTGTCTCTGGACAGCCAGGGAGCAACTGTTATCGCCCACGCGCTCAGGCAAAACACATGCGTCAAGCTATTAGGGTGAGAGGCTCAGCAGTTCAAGGTTTTGGAGCAACGACCTCTTGTGCTTGTGGGCTTGTTGAGATGACTCATAAGCATAACATCACATAAGCACATAACCTGAACATGCCACCCCAAGACCCCATGTGTTCCTTGTTTGTGTTGTGTGCTGACTTGCCCGAACTTATGCCTTGTGCTCACTCCCGTTCACCCGGTGTCTTTGAACCGCCTATGTGAGATAGTCTGGGCCACAACTGCATTGGACCTGATGGTGCTAAGGCCTTGGCTAACATGCTTGCAAGCAACAAGACCATCACGATCCTTCGGTAAGCAATGGCATTGGTGTCGAGCAATCTGTGATGATGACTCACCCCTGCCCTTAACCTTCGCGAAGCACCTCCTGCGCGTGCACCGCTCACCACGTTATCGCTATCGTGCTCCAACTCGACTCCAGGTTGCAAAGCAATCGCATTGGCAATGAAGGCGCCATAGCTTTGGCAGACGTGTTGTGCCGCAACAAGAGCGTCACGGAGCTTCGGTGGGTGCCCGTTCGAGGCGAGGTGGCTTCGTGCTGCACGACATGCTGACTGTCTGAGTACATACTGTATTCTCAGCCTCCTCTCCACCTTCAAGCCGTTCATGTGTTCGCTGCAGCCTCATCATGGCTAACGTGTTGTGTGGCCAACGTCTCTCGTTTCTCTCTCTTATCTGTTAGACTGCACCATAACAACATCGGCCTTGCTGGCGCTGAGGCACTGGCGAATATGTTGCGCACGAACGCAACCATCACACACGTCTCGTGAGTCAGCATGGGTTGAAACTGTGCTCTTGTGCTGGGCCAACTTGGTGGATGCGTGTGCTTGTAGGCAGTGATGTCATTCACCTTTTCTATCGCACAACGCCCACCCATTGCTTGGCAGGTTGTTCGCCAACTCCATTGGCCACAAGGGTGCTCAAGCTCTGGCCGAAATGCTGAAAGATTCAACAACTCTCACCCACCTCAAGTGAGTGATAGAGTGATGCAACGTGTCGGCAGCCCTCAGTGCACATGCATATGTGTGCGTGCGCGCGTGTATGGCTTGTGTGTGTGTGCGAATGTGTTTGTGTGTGTGCAAATGTGTGTGTGCGAATGTGTGTGTGTTTGTTTGTTTGTTTGTTTGTTTGTTTGTTTGTTTGTTTGTTTGTTTGTTTGTGTGTGTGTGTGTGTGTGTGTGTGTGTGTGTGTGTGTGTGTGTGTGGCGTGTGAATGCAGGGACGATTGAGGCAACGTGCCAGTCACGCAGGGAGGTGCCATCGACCAATCGGGACCAAAACTTGTTTGTGATCATGTCATGTCACTCACACGGTCCATCTTCCCACCACTGAATCACCGTGCTGCTCTGTGCAACAGGCTGGGGGAGAATGCCATTGGTGATGCTGGTGTTGAGGCATTGGCAAAGGCACTTGAGACGGACAACTCTACGCTGCAAGTGTTATGGTTCGTTCGATCAGCCCCTCCATCACACCACCAGTTGAACATCAATATGAATTGCCTCGCTTCTGCAGCTCTGTGATCATCAGCTCCTGCATGAGCCCCTTGTTCTGCCCGAATCGGCTCGTTTATGATCACCTCAACACCCACATCACCTTTGTACATGTGCTACGACCACGTCCGCATTCGCATTTGCGGTTGCTCAGGCTCAATTGCAACGGACTCAGTGATTCATCAGCGGTCGCACTGGCCAACATGCTCCGACGCAACAAGGCAGTGACGACGCTTGGGTATGTGATTGGCAGGGCTGATTGGGAGTTGATATTTGCATCTGGTTCAACAGCAAGTATCTGCTTTGCGATCCGCACTGTGCACCTCCCACATGTTTTGTCTCCTCGGCTCATTGCTGTTCCTACTTTGTGTTCTCTTGCTGTCCGGTCAAGCTTGGACATCAACACCATCACGCCTGGTGGCGGTGCAGAGCTGGGCGCTTCTCTTCATGAAAACCACTCACTCAGAGTGCTCACGTACGTTGTTTTGAAGTTCGGGCGTCGTGTTGTGCTGTTGTGTCCTCTTCCTCTCAATACACAATGGCTTCTGCTCTTGACGGCTGTGCATGATTTTTCTTGCATTTTTGCTTGGTATGACATGACTAGAACACAACACACACACACACACAACACACACAACACGCGCGCCCGCACACACACACACACACAACACACACAACATGCGCGCCCGCACACACACACACACACACACACACACACACACACACACACACACACACACACACACACAACACGCGCACGCACACAAAACACGCGCACGCACACACAACACGCGCACGCACACACAACACGCCACACATACACACACACACACACACACGACACTCGTTTCATGGTTTCATGCTGTGTCGCCGACCCACCTCACTCTAACACGAGAGTGCTTCGTTTACGCTGACTTCAGGTTGAGCCACAACTCGACTGCCACTGCTCGCGCTTTCGGGGCTGCCGTGCCCGTTCATCGTGAAATCTGGACAGGCAAATGGTCCGTGACACATTCACCACTGCATTGCTCGGCCATTGCCGTGCCCTGACGTTTGGAGAGAGCTCTATTGCTCGCTATGCATGTGTGTCTTGCCGCACTCATGCTGTTTCACCGAATGGATAATCTTATTGGACTGCATGGCCGCAGGGAAAAAGACCCTGAGGGGCAAGTGGCATTTAACGAAGGACGCGAAGTTAACAGGCAGCAGCAGCAGCAGCTCTTCGATGCCTGCAAGCACGGAAATGTCCAGCTCGTGACGTCGCTCATTAATGAAGACCACGTTCGCCTCGACCAACAAAATGAAGAGGTAGGAAGCAGAGCACGTCAGTGTCTGCAAGTCTGTAGTGTTCTGCGAGAACTAAAACCCCTGCTCCCTCTCTTACACTCAACCCGACCTGCTGTCTCGCCTTCAATTTCAACGCAGGGCGACACACCGCTCCATCTTGCATATCGACACAACCAGCAAGCCATTGTGTCCCTGCTTCGGAAATGTCGTGTCGATGAAACCATCAAGAACGGCAAGGTTCGGGGAAAGTTCCACCGCACGCCGTCTGTGCATGTTGTGCCCTATCGTGTGTAGTGCTGATTGTGAATGCTGCAAGTAGTGGTTGTTGTTGTTGTTGTTGTTTGTGCGAATACGTGTGCGTGTACAGGTGTGCGTGTGTGTATGTTGATTCGATGCTTCTCTTGCCATGTGATCTTGGCTCACAGGGTGAGCTTCCGCATGACGCGGCTTTTCCGCCAGCTGAGGACACACCGATGACCCAACGTGATGTGAGTCGAGGTCTGAGAAGGAGAGGGTGCAAGGGAATCTGTGAATGTGCACTTGCATGCATGACTGCAATCACGCGTAGTTCAGCGTGTGTGTGTGTGTGTGTGTGTGTGTGTGTTGAGTGCCCCCTCGTCTTTGACTAATGCTCGGCATTCCTTCTGCTCACCCCCATTCTCCTATTCTCACCCTGGATGATCATCATCATCAGCCCCAACATCAGGCGCAGCGTGAGGCCGACGTGATGGCGGCGATGCACCAAATCGCACTGCACTCAGATACACAGATGGCAGGCCGTGCCAAGTTGATGCTGGTTGGCCAGGGCCGTGCAGGCAAAACCACCACTCTCAACTCCCTCATGGGGGCTGCCTTCAACAGGGACGAGCACTCCACCTTTGGCGCTGAAACCACAGACCTGTCTGTCATCGTGGAGTCCATGGACGTCTGCGACTGGAAGGTGTGATTACCTTCACGTCCGTGTGTGTGTGTGTGTGTGTGTGTGTGTGTGTGTGTGTGTGTGTGTGTGTGTGTGTGTGTGTGTGAGTTTGTTTATTTGTTTGGTAAGTGTTTTGGCAGTTTGGTTGTTCGCTTGTTGAAGGTTATGTGTGTGTGTGTGTATGTGCTTGCAGGCACGCTGGTTCTCCGCCTCACACACTGCATGTGCTCACCATTGCAGCGCGTTCGGAGTGATTTGAGCGAGTACATGCGTACTCTCCGAGACGCGGGCCTGGCAAAGACCACTGGAATGGACGTGGCCATGAGAGTGGCGATGATGAAAGCAGTGAAGGAGCGTGAGCAGCGCGTCCACCAGCAACAGCAGCAACAACAGCAGCAGCAACAAGGCGTGGAACACGTGAGCAGTGATGAGGAAGAGCGCGAGGACGAGGAAGAGGACGAAGTACTGAGGGAACCCGAGGAAGCCACGGCAGTTCACGAGGCAGAGAAGCGAGACACTTGTCGCTCAAAGCAGCCAGCAAGAGCAAGACGCCCCAACAAGCGGCGATCGTGGTCCAATTCCTCTGTTCCCTCAAGTCGAAGACGAGACATGAAGCATCGTCGCAACTACAGCACATCAACAATGCCCAGTCAATCCGTCGTCCCTTCAGAGGAGATGGAGAAAGCCATCAAAGACCTTCACCTTGACGTGACAATGGGCGAGGGCAAGGCACGCGTCACGTTTAAGGTGTTTGACCTGGGCGGCCAGTCCACCTTCTACATCTTCCACCCCTTTTTCCTCACAGAGTAAGTGAAGTCGCGACGATGTGCGCGCACACTGCGTGCATGCGTGTCTGTGTGTGTGTGTCTGTGTGAGTGTATTGTGTGTGTGTGTGTGTGTGAGTGCATTGTGTGTGTCTGTACATTGTGTGTGTCTGTGCATTGTGTGTGTCTGTACATTGTGTGTGTCTGTACATTGTGTGTGTCTGTACATTGTGTGTGTCTGTGCATTGTGTGTGTTTGTGTGTGTGTGTGTGTTTGTGTCTGTGTGTGTCTGTGGTGCGCGCTTTGATACGCATGCCTGTCGTATTCCTGCGTCTCTTCATCCAATATGCTGCTTACATGCCACTGTGCCAACCCGACTGATCCCTGCACAACACAATCAGGAATGCGGTCTACCTCCTGGTGTTCTCCATGGAAGATCTGCTGCACCCCAACCCCAGCAAGCGGGCCGAGGCGTGGGAGTTTATTAACTACTGGCTCTCCTCCCTGCACCTCCACGCCAAGGGCGCACCGGTGCTCATGGTCGGCACCTTTGCTGATAACGTGACATCGAATAAGCTGCAAGAAGGCATCTCCCCAGAGCTGTACAGACGCTTCCGCTGCCATCCCGCCTTCCCTTCCGTTGTGCGCAACGACAAGCACGGCCTGTGGTTCTGGCCCGTGGACAACACCAAGTCCATCAACGACCCCATGATCCAGGACCTGCGCCAGACCATCTCCACCACAGCATTGAAGCAGCCGTTTGTGAATCAGGATGTGCCAGTGGCGTACATCAAGGTGTACGACGAGCTCATGGCCACGTACAAAGAGCAGGGCAGAGATCTGATGGCCATGGATGAAGTTGAAGCCATCACACGCAAGCATGGCCTGATCACCAAGCATGACGCGAGGATGTGCATGCAGTACCTTGGTCTCTATTCGCTAGTGCTGTACTTCCACGACATTGGCGACATGCACAATTTTGTGATTCTCAGCCCACAGTGGGCGGTGGACATGATGGCACGTGTCATCCGCAACTTTGACTTGCACCGCGGCGCACATGACCAAGAAGCAGTCAAGGTTGGCGCGCACCTGTGGGACGACCTCGTTCAGCGTGGTATCCTGCATCGCCGTGTCCTCGACGTGCTGTGGCAGGACATGCGAGCTGACATGGTCGAGCCGTTTCTTCGCTTGATGATCGAGTATGGACTGTGTGTGGAGTGTGAAGATGCCCGGCCTCTGGCGGACTGCACCAAGAGCCCTCACGGTACACAGAAACAGCCCAAGCACCAGCAATCGCGAAAGTTCCTGATTCCAGCCATCTTACCGATGCGGTTGGACACGCCACCAAACGATTTTGGTTCGTCTGTGACGCTGAGTGCGACGGCAGCAAAACTTGCCCACCCGTACGCTGGGTATGAGGCCAACACTGTCTACCTCAGCTTCTTCTTGAATGGTGATCACGTGACACGAACAGCACGCATGACGGTCGACGCAATCCGGCACAAGTCCTTCTTACCGGAGGGCATCTTCACTTTGCTTCTGGCGCACATCCTGGGCCGCATTGGGCATGACTGCTCGTACTCGCAAGAACCCAAACTGAGCCGCACCCACGCCATCATCGACATCGGCACGGCATCCAGAGTGGAGCTTCAGCTTGTTCCTGCCGTTGGTGGAATCAAGATCCACGTTGAGGGGCCGCAGCCACACGAGCTTGTCAAGCAGCTGTCTGCGATGATCAGCGTTGCTATGCCGGAGCGCTATCACCGTGACCTCCAGACGTACCTTCTGCTTCCCTTCGACCACACCTCCCTGCTTTCTTTCGACAGCGCAGCTCAGTGCCGCACGGAACGCATGCGTCTTGGGGACGATTTTGTTTCAATAAGCGAGATCACCGACAAGTTCGGATCTCTGCTGCCACCCAGACCTTGGAACTCTGCACCGCCTGCGACCTTGGCAGGGGCAGACACGATCAGGCGTGTGAAAGCCGTGACATCGGAAGCACTCGGACCGCCTCCATATGCGCGACAGGAGGAAGAAGATGAAGAGGAAGAGGAATACTTTGATCAAACGCTGACAGCTTGGCTGAAACAGTTACGACTGTTGCCACGAGTTCGCGAAGCGTTGAATCACCACGGCATCAAGAGCCTTGCGACGCTGGTGACAATGGTGCAACGAGGCAAATTCACGGCCGCCACTCTCGAAGCCAGTGGTGTGGCGCCCGCGCACGCCATCGAGCTGATCTCGCAAGCGCGGACTTTCGGTGGCCCTCAAGCCTGAGTGCCTAAGCAGTTGGCGCATAATTAGAGACATGGATGCATTCTTGCATTGAGGCGCAAAACACGGGGCCGTCTTCTGGGACTGCTGTGTGTTGTGCTTGCACGCTCTTGCGGTGTGGGTGACGTGTGTTGTTTGTTGTTTTTTGTTTCATTCTTTCATTCCCACGACGATGAGTACGACAGTACAACTAGACGACTGCTTGGGTGCTTGTTTTGAAGGAAGCCCTTTCGTTTTCGGCAGAGAGTGAACGAGTGAAGAGTAAACATCTAGACATCTTAACATGGCTCAAAGTGAATGTGTCTGCCTGCAAGCATAGAGAAAGCCATGACATATTCGTGCACACACACACACACACACACACACACACACACACACACACACACACACACACACACACACACACACACACACACACACACACACAACCACACGTTGCGCGCAATAAACTGACTTCAGTCGCGTGAAATTTGCTAGCTTCTTGGCGACAGCCCACACAAACAACAAAAGCAACAGCAACAACAGCAACGCTGCTGCTTGTCACCTTCGTCTTCTGATGCATTCTCGACCACTCTCACCAGTCAGCAGCAGCACCAGGCACCACCAGCACGCACGCACACTTCAAACATGAGCCACAGCAGCGGAATGGCTGCCAAGGCCATGGATCCAAGAAAGATTGCCGCGTACGTTGTGTGTGTGTGTGTGCGTGTGTGTGTGTGTGTGTGTGTGTGTGTGTGTGTGTGTGTGTGTGTGTGTGTGTGTGTGTGTGTGTGTGTGTGTTTGGTGTTCGTTTCGTTTTGTGTGCTGGCAACAGTGACTGCTTGTACTCCTCTACCCTGAAGTGACGCGGCTCACCTTTTGTTGCGTTTCAACGGCCACATGCATACGCATTCGAGCGTAGTCGAAACAAGAAGAAGGCGACGCGAAGCAGCCTTGCCATCGGAGGCACAGGCCCGCAGCGCACAAGAAGACGCCAGGGACAGCCTGCAGCCAAGAAACCGTGCGTTCACGTGATTGATGTCACGTGCTTTGATTATTGTCTTTGCCTGCTCGTGTTCCTGTCGTCGACTTTCAGTTGTGACTGCTGTTGATGCATATGTTGGGTGAGCAGCCCTCATTAACACGCTTTCGCCTCACTTCCACAGAAATGGCGGTCCCACAAGCCAAAGTGTCCTTGGCACATTGTTATCCCAGGTTCGTACGTATGTCTGTGTTTGTGCATGTGTTACATTATGTATGTGTATGTGTGTACATGTGTGTGTGCATGTGTGTGTGCGTGTGTGTGCATGTGTATGTGTGTACGTGTGCGTGTGTACGTGTGTGTGTGTGATGGCACCTGAATGGCACCTCTGCATGGCACCTCCGTTTTCTCGCGCAAAACACGCAAGTGATTGAATATGGTCAGCTCACGTGGCCTTGCTGTGGGATGCGTTTCTATGCTCATTTCTGTGCCCGTTTTGTGCCTGTTACGCCCCTCCCCCTCCCCCGGTGCTTCTTCCATTCAAGGTGGACTCGGAACGCCGCGAGCGAACAAAACAAGAGCAGAGCGACGCGTCGGATCAGTTTGAGCCCGACTTCTCCGCCTCCGTATCCGGCCGTGGCCTCGCCGTCCCCAACGGTGGCCAGCAAGCGCGGGCAAAGGGCGGCCCAACACTGGCGCAGACGGCACCGCTGCAGCGAGATGTGCCCGCCTCCATGCGGGCAACGCTCACCGCATCTCAGGGGCGAACGGGCGGTGGCAGAGATGCGCCAAACCCGTGGGGCCACGTCCCCGCCAACAACAGCAACACCATCCAGGAGGTGTACCACGTCGATGCCGTCACAGGTGCGTCATTGTGGGGGGGGGGGGAGGTGTGTGTGTGTGTGTCTGTGTCATTGTATGTGTGTGCGTGTGTGCTTGTGCGTGCGTGTGTGTCTGTGTGTCTGTGTGTCTGTGTGTGTGTGTGTGTGTCTGTCTGTCTGTTCTGTCTGTTCTGTCTGTCTGCAACGGCACTCAGTGCGTCTGTATCTTCACTTGCATTGCATCACACGTCTTGCGATGTACGATCCTCATTCGCCTCCTCATGCCCCGTCCTTCTCGTGCTCCCACCCTGTGCACACACCCCAGGCAAGATGACGAGCGGGCCTGTTCGCAGCCGCCCCTCTTCGCGTCGCATGCGCCCGCCATCATCCCCGTCCAGCAGACAAGGTGTGTGTGTGTGTGTGTGTGTGTGTGTGTGTGTGTGTGTGTGTGTGTGTGTGTGTGTGTGTGTGTGTGTGTGTGTGTGTGTGTGTGTGTGTGTGTGTGTGTGTGTGTGTGTGTGTGTGTGTGGGTAGGTGGGGGTGGGCGGGTGTGTGTGTGTGTGGGTGGGTGTGTCTGCCTGCCTGCCTGTTTGACTGTCTGCGGTCTCTGCCTGCCTTTCTGTCTGCATGTTCGTGCACACAGAGCAACGATGTGCTCTGTTCTTCCTTCCCGTGTCTGGTCCGTGTGTCTGTGTGCTCACGCGTACATCACCGTGATCCACGTGTTGCAACAGGGCTGAGCATCACATCGCAGTCGCTGAGTCACCCCATGCGGATGAAGCCTCCGCACCGCGTGGATCCCATCCCACACGCCCCACCCATGGGCACGGGAGGACCCGGGCATGACGCAAGAGACGAGGTTGCCAGCAAGCAGCGGAAACAGGAGGAATTGCGCGCGGCGCTGGCAGAACAGATGCGCGAGAAAAAACGGCGACTGGAGCTTGAACAGCAGATGGAGCGCGAGAGAGACCAGGTGTGGTTGTGGGGGCGTGTGTTTTGGTGGCGGGGTGGTTTGGGAGAGAGGATGTTAACCTACCAGCATATCTCGTCATACACACATTAACACACACATACACTCACATACACGCACACATACACACATATACATGTATGTACACACACACACTCACTCACTCACCCACTCACTCACTCACTCACTCACTCACTCACTCACTCACTCACTCACCCACTCACTCACTCACTCACTCACTCACTCACTCACTCACTCACTCACTCACTCACAAACACTCGCATACACTCAACGCCAGGCGCTGCAAGGGAATCCGTGGTCGTCGCCCGTGCGCGCATCGCAGCACGTGTCATCATCATCCGTCATGGCGTCACCGCACCACACATCACCCCCGCCGTCAACCCCGTTCTCCGCGTCTGTGCGCCACGTGTCGTCGCGGAACGCAGCACGGCACAGCACAAGCGCGTTTCACGCCAATCTCAGCGTGGCAAACGGCGCCTATCATGGAGACGCGGAGGGAGGAGGACTTGACTTGAACGCGTCATTCATGGGCCAGTCCATGACGTCACACTCACCCGCGGTGGACGGTGCCAGCATTGCGCACCTCAACAAGCAGGGGTTCATGCATGTCGGTGAGTCAACAAAAACGCGGCGGAAGGGGAGGTGTGTGTGTGTGCGGGTGTTGTGTGTTGTGTGTTGTGTGTTGTGTGTCGTGTGTTGTGTGTCGTGTGTTGTGTGTTCAGTGTTATGTGTGTGTTTGTTACGTGGTGTGCTATGTGTGCGTGTGCGTGTGCGTGTGCAAGGCCAGAACGTGTACTGAGACATGTTGTGTCAGACTTATGTGAATTGGCACAGCTCACGGACACATTTTCACGTTTGGTGCCTGCGTGCCTATGTGAAGATGAACGGGAGCGAAAGCGCATGCAACAGCTGGCGCAGCAAGAATCAATTCGCCAGCAGGTACGCCCTGTGTGTGTGTGTCTGTGTGTCTGTGTGTGTCTCTGTGTGTGTGTGTGTGTGTGTGTGTGTGTGTGTGTGTGTGTGTGTGTGTGTGTGATGTAGCGATTGTGCTGCGTGCCAGTTTTTCGGTGCCACAGTGTTGCTTGCAGCCTCATCACTACCAAACACGTCGATAAGACACACACAAACCACACACAAACCACGCACAAACCACACACACACACACACCACACTCGCTCACACACACACACTCACACACATAACCCACCCTCTTCCCTCTTCGTGTGCAGATTGAGGAGAAGAAACGAGAGCGGCAGCGGCGGCTTGAGGCCGAACAGCGCGAGGAAGAACTCGAACAGCAGAGAATCATCAAGGTCAGTGTGCGTTGTTTGGCTTGTGTTGTGTTGTGTTGTGTTGTGTTGTGTTGTGTTGTGTTGTGTTGTGTTGTGTTGTGTTGTGTTGTGTTGTGTTGTGTGCACACGTCTGGCTGAAATTGCGCACTCCTTGCCACAGGCCCACATTTCGCTCACGCCATGGCGTGCGTGCATGCGTGTGTGTGTATGTGTATCTGACGGCTGCTGCAGGAGCAAGAGAAGATTCGCCAGCAGTATGAAGATGAAAAGGCGGCGCGGCGCAGGAAAGAGGAGGAGCAGCAGAAACGCATCGAGGCCCTGCAGGTACTGCGCTCCGCTCTGTATGCATGTGCACGTGTGTGTTCATAGGTGTAGATGCCTGTGTGAGTGTGAGCATGTGTGTGTGTGTGTGTGTGTACTTGCGCCTGTGTTTGTCGGCGCTTTGTTTGTTGTTTAGCCGCGTTTGTGTTTGCCTACGTGGCTGCGTGTTTGTGGTGGCGTGAGTGCACCAACCATGGATACATGTGCCACTCACTGCGTGCATATGGTGTGCTACCTTCTCTGTCCACCCCCACCCCCTCCCCGACTTTGCCTTCAGGCGCTGAAGGAAGCGGATGAGGCGAAGCGAGCAGAGCGGCAGCGCGCAGCACGGTAATCCACACAGCTCTTTCGTCTGACACGTTGCTTGTCGCGTTTGTTCAGTGTTGCAACATAGCGTTGTGTGCATGCCAACGGTCATTTATATCACAGTTGTGACGCACACGCTCACGTATCCGCACACACACACACACACACACACACGTACACAATACGACTCGCGTGTGTGCAGGGAGGAGAGGCGTCGCCTGGCCGAGGAAGCAGAAGAACAAAAGCAACAACAACAACAACAACAACAACAACAACAACAACAACAACAACAACAACAACAACAACAACAACAACAACAACAACAACAACAACAACAACAACAACAACAACAACAAAGCAGCGAGGTGCAAGAGCGGATGGCAGAGGCGCAGGTGCTGGCGCGCGCCTCCGATGCGGTGCTGTTCTCGGCGGAGGAGGAAGCCGAGCGACAACGCGTGGAGTTGGAGCAGCAGGCGCTGATGGCCCAGCTGGAGGGCAGCGACGCCGAGCGTGTGCATGATGACAGTGATGAACACATGCACACAGCAAGTGACAACCAGCACCACACATACGACAGCCAGCACCACCAACAACAACGGCACGAGGAGAGTGAGGGCGTTTCGCCAGCGCCATCAGCGCCAGCGGTGAAACATCAGCCGCGCCCGCCGTCCAACGGCCGTCCATCGAGAAATGGTGTGCGAAATCGCACGCGCGCACGCAAACGCAGCGGCCTTCCCCGCAGGTGTGCATTGTGTGTTTGTGTGTGTCTGCGTCAGTGTGTGTCTGTGTGTGTCTATGTACATGTACCTGCTTCTGTGTGTGTGTCTATGTGTGTGTGTACCTGCTTCTGTATGTGTCTATGTACATGTACCTGCTTCTATGTCTGTGCGCGCGCGTGTGTGTTTCATGTCTTGATCTGCCAACGACTATCCATTCACCATCCCTATGTCTGCCATACCATGGGCGTCTCCGCTTGTTGTGTCTGCCCACATCGCATCCTCACGCCTTGTTCCCCCCTTCCTCCTCCCTCCCTCGCGCCTTTCCCTTCTCCCTCAATCCGCGTAGTGCTGTTCTGGTTCGCGATAGGTCCCCTGTCACTGCAGCCCGCCACCACGACAACGACGGCGGCAACAACGACGATGTGGATGATGTGTTCTCACCAACGCCTGATCGCAGATCGCAGAGCACCTCCATTGCACGCGACGCACACAACGATGATGGCGGCAATGATGATGATGATGGTGATGGCGTTGACACCGATGTACAGGCCAGCGGTGGCGGCGACGGTGAAATTGGTGGCGAGCTCTTGAGCGATTCGATGCAGATGCCGCTGGGAGAGATGCTCGCGCTGCAGGCAGACGGACAAGCGGTGGACGTGAGGGCCGTTTCGCCCAACCCGCCGCACAATGACACCACCAAAGATGGTGCGGACACTGCTCGTGACATGAAGGCGTCGTCGGTGATGGTGAGCGCCGTGACATCCACGCACGACGTGTTGTCAATGTCGACCGCAACGACGACACCGGTGGAGGCCGTGAGCGATGCGAGCAGCGGCCACCACCTCCGCCCGGGCGACAAGGTGCTGCGTCGCGCTGTGAGCGTGAGCATTGGCGTGCAGACGGAACACAGCGGTCCAATCTCGCTTGCCAACGGCGACGGTGGTGACGGTGATGGCGTGAAGGACTATGATGATGCTGATGGTGGTGGTGACGCTGATGATGGTGGTAGTGTGGCTGTTGCTGTATCAACAATGCAATTCAGCGGTCGCGAAGAGGACGGCGGCGGTGGCAGAGGTGATGGTGATGCTGATGCTGATGGTGATGTTGATGACTCGGTGCAAGAGAGTTTGGAGGCAGCAGCGAAATTGTCCAGTTTACAACAGATGCGCGCGATTCTCAAGCAGCGCAGGCGGCTCTTTGCCTCCCTCATCTCTTAGGCAGACAGACACACACACACGCGCGCGCGCACGCACGCACGCCTGTTTGTGTATGTGTGTCTATCCGTGTTCGTGTTTGTTTGTGTTCGTGTTTGTTTGTGTGTTTGTTTCGTGACACTCGTCACACAGAGGCTAATATTCCCTTGCTTGACTTGCTTGTTGCATTAATAGACCTCATTCCACCCCCTCTTGTTCATATCTCTGTTATTTGCGACACGAAGGAGTTGTTCTTCATGGTGTCTAAGGTGGCAGCGCGACTAAATGCTCCTGCTCTTGGGACTGCACACCTTTCTTGTGCTTTGATTGCAGGTTTGCAGCCGTCTTCATGCCCACTTGCGCTTGTTTGTGTACATGCATGCACGCACGCGTGCACAGCAGCCATAGCGTGCTGACAGTTGGTGGGTGTACTTGCTTCCCGCATGTTGTAACAGCGTGTGCGATAAGCAACCCCCCCCCCCTCACCAGTAAACAACCAACAATGTGCATGTGCACGGTGGAGGAGTAGAGGAAGCGACAGAAGATGAAAACATTGGAAGGAACAAAAGTGACGGGGGAACAAAGGAGTGTGTGGGAAGAAAGGAGCGCAGAGAGCAGCAAGGAACTGCTGCTGGTTTGAACACACACAAAACGAGAGCGAATAACCACGAAACCAGCCATCATCACAGAACATACAGGAGAACACACACACACACACACACACACACTCACTCACTCACTTGAAAACGCCTTGACATGAAGAGGTTGGCGCAACACACTGGAACAACCCCCCCCCACACACACACACACACGAACACACACACACACTCAC